ATAGCCGAACGCCATATACCAAAATTTTTGCATAAGGTAGTCTCATGCAAATTAACACTTAAAGGAATACTGGCCGGTAGCGTTATTATCGACAAAGAGTTCAAGGCGACTTTAGAAATATCTGATGTCGTCACAAATCTGCTGTTCCACGTAGCACCAGATTATGTTCTAGAGCATGATGTTATAATCGGGCGCAATTTGTATGATGATCCCGAAATATCAACGATCACCGACCTAACGGGAACACGTGTAGTCCGCAATAAGATACCTCGCATTTTCCGAATTTCCGATATGACAAGTACCTTAACGGATCCAATAAACGTATCAGACGAATATCGCCACGATCTTTTAAAGCTGCTTTCGCGATTTCCTAAGTTGCTCCCTATCAATGGGTACTTACCTGAAGTGAGTAATGCTAGGTTACAGATTAAATTAAAAGATGACTTTGTGGTCAATAGAAATCCATACCGCTTGTCGGTTAGTGAAAGGAACGCTGTACGGGACATTGTTGATGAATTGATGTCGCGCAACATTATCAGAGAGAGTGACTCGCCATTTGCTAGTCCGATCATTCTAGTCAGGAAGAAGGACGGAACATACCGAATGTGTGTGGACTATCGTCAGCTTAACGCACACACAATAAAAAATCGATTTCCACTGCCGCTCATAGAAGACCAGCTCGACCGACTTGGTTCGGGACGTATATTTACATCATTAGATATGTCTTCAGGATTCCACCAGATAGTCATAGCGGAAGATTCTATCGAGAAGACGGCTTTTGTTACGCCGGATGGGCATTTCGAATACTTGCGGATGCCATTCGGTTTAGCCAATGCTCCAGCCGTTTTCCAGCAAGCTATTAATAAAGCATTAGGCTCCTTGAAGGACAATGTAGCTTTGGTGTACCTGGATGACATCTTGATCCCGTCCCAAAATATTGAAGATGCATTGCAATCGCTTGAGCTTGTTTTTGAAGCCTTACAAAACGTCGGATTTTCCTTGAATCTTCAAAAGTGTCATTTTTTCAAAGATACGTTGGATTATCTTGGGAGGGAGATATCAGCCGACGGCATACGTCCTGGTGTGCGTAAAGTGGAAGCATTAGTTAATTCCCCCATTCCAAGTACTGTCAAGCAAGTGAGACAATTTATGGGACTTGCTGGATATTTCCGCAAATTCATACCAGAATTCGCAACACGTACGGCAAATATAACAAAACTAACACGCAATAGTGAACCATTCATCTGGTCTGATCAACAAGAGTGCGCCCGGAAATATATTATCGATTGTTTGACTTCAAGACCCCTTTTGTCAATTTTTGATCACACTCTGACGACTGAGTTACATACTGACGCCAGTTCCATTGGGTACGGGGCAATGTTAGTGCAAAAGAAAGAAGGAAATATCAAAGTTATTGGATATTTTAGCAAGAGAACCAATAAATACGAAGAAAATTATCATTCGTACGAATTGGAAACGCTGGCGGTGGTCAATGCATTGAAACACTTCCGTGTATACTTGCTGGGCATTAATTTTACTCTAATCACCGATTGTAATGCTATAAAAGCCACTTCTACAAAAAAGGATATTCTTCCCCGCGTTGCACGTTGGTGGTGCTATATGCAGGACTTTGACTTTTCTATTGTTTACCGTAAAGGCAGCTCTCTTCCCCATGTTGACTTTTTGAGTCGAAACCCTGTAGTAGTACGTCGTTTGGATGCCACAGATAACTGGCTCTATGTGGAACAGAGGGGTGATGCCGAAATTCGACAAATAATTGAAGACTCGAAAGAGGGCCGTCTGGATCAAAAACGATACTCATTGAAAGATGGGATAGTACATTATGCTATCACGACTCCTGATGGTACGCATATGAAACCATTTGTCCCTAAGCAAAGTAGACTTGGACTTCTACGTATTTTTCATGACGAACAATGCCACATCGGGATGGACAAAACTATTGAATCCATTAGCAGGCATTTTTGGTTCCCAAAACTGCGATCATTTGTCAAAAAGTACATTAAACACTGTTTGGTTTGTGCTGTAAAGAAAACAAGATCTGGGCCCCTACAAGGACTAATTACAAATGTAAACAAGCCGACTACACCAATGCAGGTTATACATGCAGACTGCCTTGGACCGCTTGAAAAAAACATCTGAAGGATATAAACACATTCTTGTCCTAATAGACGCTTTTTCAAAGTATTGCTTATTACAGCCCTTAAAGACATTGAAAGCCGATGAGACGAGACTTGCATTTCAAGCATTTATCTCATTATTTGGAACCCCCCAACAGATTACGATGGATGCCGGAACCAACTTTAAGAATCTAAGCCTCCCTCAATATTTGGATAGTCTTGGAGTAGCGTATCATTACACAACGCCAGATGTTCATCGTTCTAATGGGCAGGTGGAACGCTATATGCGTACAATTATGAATCTCATACGCGTGGAAACAAGTATTAAATACGATTGGTCAAAAAGTATCTGGAAGATACAACTCGTTTTAAATTCAACCGTACAAAAGTCCACTCAAACTTCACCTTTCAGAGCTTTGATTGGAATAGACGGCTCAACACCTCTGATCCAGAGTTTACTGAGGACTCTGAACAACGACCTGCATCCGATCAGAAGTAGAGAGTTAGACCGTAAAAGAATAAACGACCAGCTTAATCGATCTAAAGATGCCATGATTAACGCCAACCTAAAGCGTCGTGATAATATCAAGTTTGCCAAGGGAGATTTTGTCTTGATGCACAGAGACGACAAAATGCATCAAGGAAAATTGAAATATGAATTCCAAGGGCCTTTCGAAGTTATGGGTATAACTCCCGAGGGTCGCTACGAACTCAAACGTGTTGGGAAATCCACCATCACCAAAGCTGCTAAGGAGCAGTTAAGAAGATGGCCGACTGATTGGTCTCTTTCACTTGATATGACTGACTTACTAGATGCCTTAGATGATGATGATGATGATAAAAATGATAAAAGGTGAGTTGTATTGTTATATTTATGGCACGTGTTAGAAATGTATGAGTGTTGAAAGCATGGACGCTTTGCACTGTTGATAATGAATAAGTGTTGAAAGCATGGACGCTTTGCACTGTTAGTGATGAATGAGTGTTGAAAGCATGGACGCTTTGCACTGTTGATAATGAATAAGTGTTGAAAGCATGGACGCTTTGCACTGTTAGTAATGAATGAGTGTTGAAAGCATGGACGCTTTGCACAATTGGTTATGAGTAAGTAGAAGTGTTGAAAGCATGGACGCTTTGCACTGTTGATAATGAATAAGTGTTGAAAGCATGGACGCTTTGCACTGTTAGTAATGAATGAGTGTTGAAAGCATGGACGCTTTGCACAATTGGTTATGAGTAAGTAGAAGTGTTGAAAGCTTGGACGCTTTGCACTGTTTTCAATGAATAAGTGTTGAAAGCTTCGAAGCTCTGCATTGTTGTAAGTAATGAGTGTTGAAAGCATGGACGCTTTGCACTATCAGTAAGGAATGAGTGTTGAATGCGCGAAGTGATGTATAGATGTTGAAAACATGGATGCTTTAAATTGTCGGCAATGTGTTTTCGAAACATAGAGGTTTTGCACTGTGCAAAATGTCTGAGCTCGAACGTTATACATTTTTATTAGCATTGAGAGCGCAGGTGTTTCGTACAGTGCATAACGCTGATAACAAACGCTACACGATTGATAAGCGATCTTTTTCCGTTATTTGCAGCCTGGACGAGGCAGCCATTCTCGAAAACGAAGCCAATGCTCTGCAACCTATTCCATGAAGAAATGGGACTTCGAGAGCGAAGTCCGTGTCAGAATTGGCCGTGTTAGAAATCATCAAATTATTTTGATAATTTGTATTTGTCAACAAACTGCATTTTTTTTCTACCAGATAAACACCGACCGCAATCGGTCGCCTGGGAGGTAGTCATAAACCATACCCCGGTGCGCTCGTATCAAAACGCCGTCCGTGTTTATATTCGATGTTATTTTTGATAATATTTATTTAATTATAAGATTTCTTGTAGTAATTAAATTTTCTGTCGAGCATAGTATACTATTTTATTTTTAACCATAACTTTTTGTCAATTCAAATTAGAAAAGAAATTGAACGTAGCTTCATGCTATTTGTTTAAATTTTATGTCATTGTCATCAATTTTGAAAAAAACTTGGCAATAATGTCTGCCCAGCGAGTCTGTGTCTACGGGGCAACGGTAAGGGGAATGCAGTTGTAAAAAAAATGGCTGATTTCATTCATAAAAGACCCAGCTGCGTGCGGAACTTTTTGGAAGTGTTATCGTATCCCAACTCGTACACGAAAATTGGCAATGACCAAACCTCCGCCACTGGATATTTCAATATAAATTGATATTCCAAGATGGGAGGATAAAATGACGTCAGGCCTGGCCAATAGCGAGACATAAGGTGACGTTGGCTCATTGACAACCGTATGGGTTTCCCATGGCAACGGCGATCCTGTCAAAAACTCCACCAATCAGGTTCATCCAGGCCGGATGCTTGCCAAATTGTCAAAAGCGGATGGTATATTCAGAAAATGTTTATTTTTTACAATAGATCAAATTGAAGAAATCAGGAGAAATAAGAATAGATCTAACAACCACGTTAAAATATTTAGCGTTTTATTATTGTTATCAATATTTTGTTATTAAAAAATGGATTTTCAAATGAACTATACTTCATGTCTAATATTTTCGCTTTTTTATAATTAAACGTGGCAATATGGCGCATTTACATCCGAATTCCTGCCGTAGACTCAGATCCGCTGGGCAAACAATACCTGCCACATAAATATAATGAAATGAGGACGGGAAGTGAGGACGGGAAATGGAGCAGGGGAATGAAAAGACAGTAAAGTGACATTTTCAAATTTTCAAAAAGTCTGTAATGACAACATTACATATATGGTTAAAAATAAAAAAATTTGTATTGAGGTACTACAATAAAAATGTGAATTGATTATGTTTTTCTATAGATCAAGCCAGACGAGATGCTAACGCTACAAATAAGGAAATGCAATCCCTTCAAAAAAATGTTATGTCTATTGAATCCAAAATTGATAAACTTAAGAGTGATAGACATGCTGTACTTTTACATTGCAAGGTATGTAACTTCTAAGTAGCTATATGAAGTTCATCTATAGTTTATTTTACTACTACAGTATTTTGAATTTTTATAATTTTATATACCATCAATGAGTAATTTCGACATTTTATCAGCCTTTTCTAATATAGTTTTATGGTCAAACTGTTCTAGCTTCAAACGTTATCTATTTTCTTTCATAGAGAGGATGGAGATTTGATAACATTTCAAGCCTTATCTCAAAATGGCATTTCCCATAATACTTAACGGCCTAGGGTATGGTTAGTCGATATCTCCTTCTTTCCAATGGCCCAATCTTGCCAGAATGGTCAAACTTAATTATCAACATTAATAAAATGGAATCTATTTTCCGACAAAATAGTATATTGTGTATTTAGGTCGAAAAGTGACACATTCTTGGCCGACGGTGTAAGTTGACGGGCGAGGCGTAGCCGAGGCCGGCAAACACTGAAGGCCGACACTGTGCTTTTCCACCGAAATACACAGACTATTTTTTCTGCGATCGGTTAAATTCCTGTTAAATGTTTGTCTTTTAGTTCCAATTATTCAGCAATACGAGAATCACTTTCCCGGCCTAGGCCGAAAAAGTGTTTCCCGTATTCATTGATTCCTTAGCAACTATTGAAACATAATTGAAATACCAGAATATTGCGTTTTGCGACCTGTCAAGCGGTCAAAAATGCTGACATTTCTTGTCAATCGCAGAAAAACGTATTTTTACAAATTCTAGTTGTCCTTCATCCGATGTATGTACGACACTATTGTCCGTCGTTTTTAATCTGAAACTTTCCGTATGAGGAGCGAGGTTGTGAAGCATTATGGCAAAAACAGGTGGGACGTCAGGTGACCATTGGCCTTCTAATGTAGGGTGCCGCCAGCTCACATTCCTCTGGAATATCAGAATAGAATCGACGGACTGTATACAGGGTGACACAAAGAATAGGGAACAACCTATAACTTTTTTAATGTATAAGTTGAAAATTTGAAATTTGGGGAGCTTAAACGAGGCAACTTTCCGAGTTTTTTAAAAGTAAATTGCGTTACCAGTCACTTCCGGTTAAACCGGAAGTGGCCATAACTTTTATTTTTTAAATAGAACACCCGGTATTTTTTGAGTTTTCTGGCATCAGCAGATCATTTTACGTACCAAAGGACCATTTTTGAAAGATTTATAACAAAAGATTTTTCAAAAGTTGTTGGGCTATTTCTACAGTTACAGATTTTCCTGATATTAAGAATATCCAACTAAATCAATTTACACCAGTGGCAGCTCCGAATTTTTTTTTTTCTAAAAATTAATTCAATTTATTTTTTTTTTGTTAAAAAATTTTCAAAAATATCGGGTGTCCTATTTAAAAATCAAAAGTTATGGCCACTTCCGGTTAAACCGAAAGTGACTGGTAACGCAATTTACTTATAAAAAACTCAAAAAGTTGCCTCGTTTAAGCTCCCCAAATTTCAAATTTTCAACTCATATAATAAGAAAGTTATAGGCTGTTCCCCTTTTCCTTGTGTCACCCTGGATGTATACATGAAGTACCTTCAAATATCCAGATTTATGCTTCAATATAAAATATGTACTAATCTTTTTAGATGGAAGACATTGCGATTCCCTTGTCAGCAGGTAATATGGATGATATAGCAGCTACTGACACGCAAACTTCTTCGGGTGCCAGCAGCACATTAGAACAATATGAACGAGATGCTACAATCCAAATCAACTTCAGTCAGCTGTCAGATGAGCTAATGCATTTAGAAGACGACAATGAATATAAGGAATGCGAAAAAAAGCTTCTTAAAGCAATTTCGAGCTTACAAGAAATTCTTCGAGTAATTCAGGCGCCCAACATGAAAGCTATGGAAAAGTTGAAACAAGCGCGAGGCAAACTGCGGTCGACCAATGAAGAATTTAACGAGCTAAAGAGGCGAAATAATGAAGCTCGAGCCGCCTTTGATACAATCAAGAATCTCAGAACCGCTAAGTTTAATGAATGCTTGGATCATGTGGCTCGTGAAATTGACGATATATACAAAGCCTTGTCCCAGAATCAAGCGGCTCAAGCGCATTTGCGTGTCAAAAATATAGAAGAACCGTATTTGGACGGTATCGATTATGATTGTGTTGCTCCAGGCAAAAGATTCCAGCGAATGGCCGATTTGTCTGGTGGAGAAAAAACGGTAGCGGCTTTGGCTTTGGTGTTTGCTATACACTCTTTCCAGCCGGCTCCATTTTTCGTACTGGATGAAGTAGACGCGGCGTTGGATAATACAAATATTGGAAAAGTCGCCAAGTTTATCAGCCAGAAAACTGAATCTTTGCAAATTATTGTTATATCCTTGAAAGAAGAATTCTTTTCTCATGCTAATGGACTTATCGGCATTTATCCTAAGGTAGGTGATCGTTTGTAAGCTTAAATGGAGGTTCACTTTTTTATGCTGTTTCAGCCTGGACACTGCCTCATCAGTCAAGTAGTTACGATGGATCTGACTGCTTTTGAAGTTTAAATTAATAATAATTATTATCGTTCTAGTTTATTGTTCAATTTTGCATAAAATGTATTTAATTTAAAGTTAGCTGTTTTGTTACTTATAGTTTTTATTAATTCAATTAACAATTTCTTGTAGTTTTATTTTTCATAATTTTAAATTAACTTAACGTAATATGTTGGTGTTAGTATTCCTCTATTCACTTTCAAAGTGAAGTTTGGTGAAGAAGAAGCAGTTTTCAGTTTATGTATCTCGCATATAATAATAATTATATATTTCATATTGTTACAAACTAACTTAATAAATAGTATTGGTATGCCTTTGAAAATTTAGTTTCTATCCATACCTTTGCAACCAAAAGAACAACATCGTTTGGTGCAACTGAAGCTTGGGATCTTGAGGGGTTTCAATTGAATTAAAACAGTAGGTTTTGAAACATCAAGATCAAAGTTGATTTATGATTTATGGTACTAGTGTGTTATGTTGAAAATAAGTCACGCGAGAAAAATTTATTAATAATACCAAATAATAATCAATAATTTCTCAAGTGACTTAAAAAACCTAATACACGAGTAGCATACAATGTTTTATCCAACAACTGAGAAATCACAACACTCACGAGCATGCAAGAACTGAAAAAACTAACAGACAACAAACTTCTTTAAAGTAGGACTTCTACACACCTTCTACATTTTATCCAAAACCTGCTAGTTATGAGAGTCATTATTTGTGCCAATTAAGACAGATAAACTTTCAAATAACTCACTCTCTTATAACGTCAACGCAAAATGTCAGGAAATAAAATAATTAAAATGAAAAGTTATATGACTGAACGATGAGAACACCAAACAGTTTTTAAAAGAATTAATTATATACTGGGTGTCCCAAATTCGAGCACTGTGATTGGATTGGGATATTGGAAACGGTAAGAGATAATAATAATATAATAATAATAATATAACGTTTATTAAACAAAATAGTTACAAATAGCTAGATATATGCACAAATTAGAATAGACGTGAAAAAATGTATCACTGAAGCACACTTGTGCTTGTGTGTGATAGTGTGTCATAGCCGGGAATATGTCTAAATTCGGTTTTTCAAAGTCTTAATAGGGTATACAAGTTACAGCAAGGGTTTAAGTCGATTTCGAGTATTTTTTTTTTTTTTTTTTATTATAATTTTTTTTTTTATTGAAAGCTTTATTTGAAACAAAAAGCGTTTATCTTATGTATTTCAGGTCAATTAAATTATTAAAAGCCTGTCTACCTTTCAAAAATATCCAGTTTTTAGCTTTTACCTTAAAAGATTTGCAGCTTTCTATTAATTTTATGTCATTTGGAAGCATATTATACAATCTTGGCGAATAATACTTTAGACTTCTCTGGCCATGAGTTTTATGGGATATTGTCGGATATGCTAAGGCGTGGCGTCTTGTAGAGGCATTTTGGCCAATGTTGAAAGTAATTTTTTCTTTCTTGATATTTTTAAGAATCTCCAGACAGTAGAGCTGACGCAAATCTAGAGTTTTACTTTCAGAGAATAGATCGTTTGTTGGATATGTTCTATCTTTGCCAAAAATAATCTTAATAAACCATTTCTGTATTGTATTAAGTTTCCGCAAATGAACTTCGGAAACACCTCCCCAGCCAAGAATACCGTATGTCAAATGACTTTGCACCAGAGACATATATAAGATTCTCATTTGCTCAGTACTTAAAAAGTCTCTGAGGTACGAGAATTTTGAAAGAAGCCCTCTTATTTTTTGAACAAGTTCATTAATATGTAGGTCCCATCTAAGCGAGTTATCCATTTTGATACCAAGGTATTTGAAAGATGTTGTTTCTGGGATTTCATAGTTTGCAATTTTTATGTTTCCGAGTTTTGGAAGAAAATTTTTGTATGTTGAAAATGGCATGTATTTGGTTTTTTGTACATTCAACGTTAACTTATTATATTGATACCAGTTTTTTAATTCCACAAAATCATCCTCAATCTGAACTTTCAAAAGTTGCCAAGATTTTGCTTTACAAAATAAGACTGTGTCATCTGCGAGATACAGGGTCGGTTGAATTATGGCAAAGTTGCGCATTTTGATGCTTAACAAAATGCTGTTTTGAAGTTTGAGAAATTGCGTATAATAGTTCCCAAAAAATACTCGAAATTTAAACCGAAATTTTACAAAAGCGTTTTCCTTTTTTTCTGAGCTTATTTGAAGAGATATTCCAAAATAAATGTCACTTTATCGTTGCCACTTTTTTTTGAAAATCATTTATTTCCTTCAAACAATCTATAAATTACAATTTTATAAGTTTCTTAAATCAGTATATAAAAATACTGGTCACAAGAAACAAGCTAATCTAAATATACTAAATATTCAGTGTTTTTTTTAAATATTATTTCTCAATAATAGTTTCCATCAAATACAAAAGCTCAATAAAACTAGGTTGTATCATATAATAAACATCCAAAAGACATCAATAACATACCCACTCCATAACACACTAATTATATTTTCGATTCAGAAACTTGTATTTTAAAAAACATTTATTTTATTGATTAAAAAACAGAGGTGACAAAAGAAAATATTCGGATCAAATTGCTACTGGCTAAAGCCAGAAAACAAATGAACGTTCCTTATGGGACGGCATCGGCTTAAATAAACATTTAATGCCGACATAGCAATTTGATGTTTACTTTACAACAATGTATTTAAAAAGTCCTAGAGGAAAGGGGTAAGCACATTATAGTTATTAATGATACAAGTTCGATATGAACGCCATAATGAAACGCGTGTAACGTTAAACCACGAGGCGTTAGCCGAGTGGTTTAGTTACACAAGTTTCATTAATAAAGTTCATATCGAACGTGTATCATTCAAAATTTAATCTACAATGGTCCAAATAGATTTGATTTGCCTTGAAATAGCAAAAACTTTTCAAATTAAAATTTGAAATTTAGCAGGTGCCCGTACTAGTCGAGAACCTGCTTGTTGGTTTTTAGAATTTTGACCACAGAACATATCACCTATAGAAAAATATCTCAAATGGAAGAATCGCGACAAAGGTTTTTAGTTAGATTTTCATTCAACGATGGCGACACTGTCGGGAGATAAGAGAAATTTACAGGTATCTGTGGCGTGGACAGTGATTTGTGTTGGTTGGTTTTGTCATTTATTTTGTCATTTTAAAAGTTAAAATTTGAATTTTTAAATTGTGTTGTTGTACCCCACGGTTTCTACGCGCGGTAAAGTGAAAATTCAAAAAGTTTTGGTTAAAAAAAAACCTAATTTTTGTTCGTATTTTTTTGTATTTATTCGTTTGTTTCGTTTCGTTCGTATTTGTATTTATTATTCGTATTTACTTTGCGATCTACCTATAACTGCGTGACTCTTGCTAACTTACTAACTCTTATTGCACTATGTTCGACATCGGAAACTTCCTGCCAGTCATAGTTTTTAAAAAAGTGAGGCGAAAAGAGCTAAGAGGAGTCAGCAAGCCAAATGCAGTTGAACATTAAAAATTATACAAAAATAATAAAAATATATGAAAAAAATCAATTCGCCTTTTTGTCAAGAATACTCGATTAGTTGGGTTTTCAGTCAACGAAGGCGCTGTAATTCATAACCGGTACATAACATTGCAGATACTTTTCTAGAGGTGATATGTTCTGTGTTGGCAGCTTCAATATTGGAGTCCATTTTTGTGCCATAAATTCAATTTTATAGTGGAAAATAATATTATTATTGGTGATTCTGAGTTTGAAAGTGTCTCTTCGAATATAGAGACAGCATTATTGAAAAGGTTCTTCTGGCAACTAACTTTCTTTTTGTATATTTTTCATTTCAAAATTTGGGTGTTATTATGAATTCTTAAACGCACTAGTGCTATTATGAAGGACCTAATGACATTCAAATGACAATGCTAAATGTGTCATAATGACACCGACGTAGATTAAAGCATATAAAAAATAGATAATTGATTATAAATCAGCATGGCAATTGGTTAATATAACTCCTCCCTCCTTAAGATGTTGCAAACGTGGATTGATGTGAATTCAAATCAGACAATTCAATTTGTACATTTGCACAACCTTTTTCTGAAGTTTCAAACTTCCTAAAACAGTAAAACAGTAAAATTAAAAATAAAATAGCAAGACTTAAACCTATGATTACAGATGTGTTTAAATAAGAGTGTTCAAAATACAATTCTTTTAGATTATGAACTCTTATTTGTTTCGAATTCTTGAAGGCTTCTTCTAAGTCTTCTTGGTTAATTTCTTGAAGTTCCAATGTTGTTGCGTTCTCTGGAAGTTCAGGGATGTCTATTCTTGGAATCTTCAGTTCAAAATTGAAGTTCTCGCTGGTTTTTGAAAATGTTTGATTTTGGATTTTCACAAAACATTTCTCAAAAGAAACTAGCGTTGGATTAGTTATTATTTCCATATGGTTTGTCTTGTCACATTGAATAACTATGGTCAGGCTTTTCTTAGGAATGACTAATAGTTGTCCATTCGGGAGTTGTCTCACTGTTGGTTTTTCATATTTCACTTTAGTGAAAGGACATTGTTGTGGTAGGTCAGTAATCAGGTCGTAGACACATGATTCTTCTTGTTTCAGCTCATCTTGGTTACAAAGGTACACACTTTCGACTTTCGGGCATTACCATAACGTGTTGTAGTAAATGTCCGTAGTAAATAATAGGTAAGGGTACTTATTCCTAATGGTAAGTTCTTGGATAGGAATTGGATAGATTTTATACAATATAAAGGGCTTGGGATCAATCATTGGTGTGTGTATAACAAATATAATTAACTCATTTTGGATTTTTACTTGAGTTTTCATTGTCTCATAATACTTGATTTTATTATCAAAAGGTATTTGCTGACTTTTGGGTATATTTGTTAATATTTGATTTAATTCATTATGCTGTAAAATAGTATAATGCATTATTCCCAATTGTGCAAAATTTATTGCTAATTGCACATGATCAATAAGATTCCTAATTTTATTACTTTGAATATTGATATTGTTCAATATTAGATTGAAAGTTAACATTGAGTGGAAATTTTGGTTTTCCAAGGAAATATTTTGCAATTTTCCTGTGATAACCTTTTGGTTGGATTCAATAGTTAAAAATTGATCGTGAAATGTTTTTGTAACTTGTTTCAATACTTGAGCTTGTATTTTTAGATCTTCATTGATAGTTTTTTGATTATCATTAAGCGTCTGGATATAAGAATCATATCTTGCGCCATCTTCAGCATCTAGGGTTCCGTAGAGCCATTATTGTGCTGTGCCCATGAAATTTAATAGACCTCTTTTATTACGTTTTCGGTCTTGATAGGATCTGATTGCTTGTTTCATAATCTTAATTTGAGAATGACTGTTTTCAATATTTGTTTGAAACAGTGCAACAAATTGGTTTGACCATGTTGTTTTGTTAAGAGTGTCAGATAATTTAATTAAGGTGATTTCCAGTTTATGGATATTTTGAATGATAATTGTCGTGTTTATGTGATAATAGGCCGTGTTATGTTGAGTTGTTACGTAAGTAGTTCCTAAAGAAATTGGTAAAATAGGATTTTCTACCGTCATCAATGTATACGCTTGGGTGACTCCAACGAGAGTTAGGAATACTAATGGATTTGTGACAAAATTTGAGATGTTACGAAGAATAAACATTTTGGTAGCGTGAATAATTCTGTCACATCTTAGTTTGCGTGGGTACCATAATTATGCTGTAATTAAATTTATTCTGAAAAGGGATACCAAATTTTCTGAACCGGAGGCAATCCAAACAAAACCTTATTTCTCTTCTTCTTCGGTTTTGGTTAGTGCAAAGGGTTATAAATTCAAGAAGACTTACCTTTTTATTGCCAATGTTGCTTCTCTTCTCAAATGCACAAACCGGCACGAAAGAACTTTTTACGCGTCCACCAGTGTTTTAGAGGGAATTTTAAAACCAGAAAAGAAAAGAGTAATTTTGAAAGATTAAACTAATTTATTTATAAGCGAAAAGAAAAGTCAGTGTTAATTATTTAGTGATAATAAAAAAAAAGGTTAAGTAAAATATAAAAAAAGAACAAAAAAAAAATATTACCTTATTTAAGACCATAATTAATTTTTAACTGAAGAAAAATTAAAGACAATTGAAAGCAAAGAGTAATTTCCCAATTAAAAGGTTTAGTTCCCAAATCTGATTCTTTATTGGAATTGAAATTAAAAAAAATAACAACTATCACCTCTTTGGAGAACTTCTACTAAAACACAGGGCGGCAGAACTAGATGATGAGAAACGGATCGAGAACTCGTTGAAACTTTGCGACTTAAATTTCCAGCGATCACTCGTAGTAAAAACTAGTTGCGAATTAGCGATAACTGAAGTTATGTGGCCTCTACATGTGCTTAAATAGGCGAAAGGAATTACCCTCTGGGTACCACTTTAGAAGCCCATTGGCTCCCCTCCGTACCCGGCTTGCTAGAATCGAGGATCTCCAACCCTCTTAGCTTTCAGCGATTCGCTGAGAGTACCCTTTGGTTTCTTGCCGTGTTCCCATTGGTTCTCATATTGTTCATTCTATTTGCACCCTTAGTGATATAGTTTGAAAGCCCTCCAACAGAGTTCGCTAGTCATATGGGAAATATAATTTCGATAACTGCAATAACTGTTTTCCCCTTAATTGGAAAATCCTACATTCTATATGCTTTCTTTTAACCTAGTCAAACAGTTTCTTTGTTTTATAATTATTATATACAGCCTTTAATATGACAGAGCTCATGATAATTATATAATATTCTTCTCAAGATTCCATCTGAATGTAAAATGCTTTAGACAGCAATAATATCCCAAGAAAATATTAGTAAACTAATTTTATAAATGTTTCACATAGCGCTAATAAAACAATTTTATAGATGTACGTCAACTAATGAACTAGTATCAGATAACATCAATATAAATCTAATATAAAACAGATTTGTTCGGTGAGCTAAAATGTCATATAAAATCATTGTGCAAACGTTCATAAAACAATATTAAAACTTGTTACCGAACTGTTTTGTATTTTTGCTCCAAGAACGTTCTTACGACTACCTTATAGAGCAGAATACTTTCTTGGAAGCTTAATTATCTCGCTTGCAATTTTAATAAAACAAATGGCATTCGACGAGCAGTGATAAACTAATTATAGAATAAAATAGCAGCGGAGAGTTAAAAATTATAAAATATAATTGCTAGTTGAGGTGTTAAATGAATTAAATTATTCTATACTTAAATACTAATTTATGCCTAAAATAATTGGATAGTTAACTATCTCCTTTGATTTTCCTATTCTATACAATTTCGTGTTATTATATCTTGGAAAATCGGGTCTCCGTGATCATTGTTTTAGCCCAAACACATACATGCTTCGAATATAAGTTATCTGACCATAAAACGGGAATTATATCGTTCTTGGGTACTTTATTACAACCATATGTCGTAATCTAGTGCAGCTGCAGATTAGAATCACATTTGGCGTTAATCTAGGAGAACACATAATTTTGCCTAATAAATTTGTCAATTTGGCTTATTTTCGACTTGAAAACTAATAAAACTTGATACATTTGGCTTTAAGTGTTTTTCCTCAATTCTCGACCAGATTAGTTATATCGTTCCCAGAATCGCCATATGTTTGTAAAACCCATTAAGATAAATTTTTATCTATTTCTTAAAACTTGAACCGAGATTTGAAAATTAACATTAATTCTGTTACAAATTACCCTCCCCTTAAGTTCGAAGCATGTTTGTACACTTCAAAACAATAATCACTCCCAACCAAACCTCCAAGATATAACACCTTATCCCGACAATTATAAATACGTAATAAACGAGCGCACACACTCGCGAACTATGGATCACGCGGATTAATTTTTTCGTTGTTCAATTTACAGTTAGGATCACTACACGGCGCGGTAGACTTCGGCAGTATTGGATAAAACGAACTGCTTGATTGTTCCTGGGGGGCGGTAGCATTAACTGACACTGGATTCAATTCATTCTTCTGGTCTTCTTCGTCCCGATTTCTTCTTTGGCTGGCTAACTGATACAAATATGTATGAGCTAAAGTATTCCACAGACTGGCTAAAAGGTATCGTCGGCGTCGTGGATGGTTAACTGTTGCTTCTTTGATGGTGAAATAGTTTGATACGACGCCGGCCAAATAACTAACGGCGCAAACTATGGTGTATAGGAACCCACAAATGGAAAATAAATTTCCCATTTTGGATAAAAATCCCCACACTTCCTCAGCAGCGGAATGTGCTAAATTGGTAAATTCGGTTTTGCTGAACAGATTTGGCATGTAATAAGGGTCTGAGCTATCGAGCGCTATGATCCTCCTGGCAACTTGATTAGTCACTGCTTTTCTGGTATTTGGATATAGGAGAGTTTGCTGGAAGCTTTCCATGTCTTCCTTGGAATAAATTCCATTAGAACTGATAGGGGAGATGGAAATACTTGGCATTGATAGTTTGTCTTCTTCATCATTGGCATCTAATTCTAAAGCGTCGGTGGTGCGCTTTAGGTCAGGTGTTACTTCTAACCAGTTATTTTCCAACTTGAAATTAACCGGAAGTAGTGGTTGACATTCTACTTTGGTTCCATGTTCAACTAGGATGTGAGTAATAGCAGTTCTGTATAGTGATCTATTCAGATAGGTAACGGGAAGTTCTTGATAACATTCTGAAGTCTTCCGATAATCTACGACAACAGCTCTACATTTAGCAATATAGAGTACTTCTCCCATCACTCTACTAACATATCCTGAGGTTTCTTTTACAAGATTACCCACTGCGTCGGGCGATTGTTTTGCCATTGCTAATCTGTTCTGTAATATCTTTTCTCTCAAATGACATCTCTTCATAATCGAGTCGTAGATGACATCAGCCATTTGTCTTTTTACTGCAATCTCCAAATACAACAGTTTACTTAGTACTTGAGCCATCATGTCTGTATTTTGAGGAATTCGAATAGTACGATGGTAATAGAATCCGACTGAATCCTCAAAAATTACAAGTAAGCGGTTTTGTTCAGTTAGCCAAGCCTTTTGAGCACAAATTTCTTCTGGTTTTGTCAGTTTTAAAGCAAAAACTGTATCTTCGGTTTCCACAACGACGTATCTATTAGGTGGGTTTCGACTTAATACAAGGAGAGTAGCGTTTCCTTCGTATAGTACGTCGACACCACTTGTAGAGCATAAACTAGATAGATGTTGTTGCCATGTAACTTCGCCTTCAACATCATCAAAACAATAACCATCATTGTACGGACAGACACCACCAGACCGTAGGGTAACTAGATTTCGTTCGACATCGGCAATCACAACATAATCTTGGAGTTTAATGGATATTGCTGCGGTAACTACGACATTAGTATATTGGATGGAACCCACGGCGAATCTTACACCTTCGCATCGACCATTGGCGTCGGCAAAACCTTGAAGAGTTGCCGAAACTTCTGTGGTCCCATTTAGATTAAGTTTGGAAATAACACCAGCTCCCATTCCTTGGAGGTCTAACTGACGGAATCGGTGAGCCTTCAGACATTGTTCTGGGTCTATGTGCTGAATATATTTTCCAAAACCTCCGGCTACGGTACTGCGATGACTATACATGCCGCAATGATCAATGAGTTGTTGGACAGTAACTTGACAGGTGAGTATATGAATTGGTACATATTGTCGTTTTTGTACCAGCTGGATTCGTCTGAAGTTGGACTCGGAAAAGTTACGAGGGTCTTGGCATGGTTTTACTGCCAGCAAAGACACTTTTGTCAATTCGGTCGCTCGGTCGGCGCAATCATAAGCAATAATCTCTGGGCGTGCTGTCCTCAAATAGTAGAGAAAAATCAAAACAAATTTTATGATTTTCATGTTTCTCTTCTTTCAAATCTAAAACATTCAAAAAAAAATAATTATATATGCTTAACCTAACCGTTTGAATTTGAAACTAAGATTTGAATACATATCAATACTGTCAGTCAACGACTACAATTCGGTATCCAGTTCTCCTAATCTATGCTGATTTCTTGTGCGTCTAGCGATATTCCTCTATACAAATATCAAAAACTGACAACCACAAAACAATAAATACAACATTATTATAACATTTCTACCCTATCCCTATTTAAGTCTAATCCAAGGAGTCTAAAACATAATCTTCAAACCTTTTTGGTAACTGTCTTATTCGTTGAGGTCGAATTTGCTGTTCTAAAGGCTCCGGGTTTCGTATGTTTATAGAAACTTGAGCTACATCATCATTTTCCTCTCGATCTGCATCCAAGGACCTCATAGAATCATTTTCATGATCATCAATTATTTGGTTATCATCATCAACACCATCTCTTGAAATATTCGAAGATCTATTCAAGGGATCCGTTTCTGCTATATTTCTATTACTTTCGGTATTTTCATTTTCCAAGACTGACGACATTCTATCAGTTCTGTCTACATTCTCCTCACTTTCATCCGTCACAATTTCTTCTTCACTTTCACTTTCACAGTCTAAAGGAAAATAATTTTCCTTAATTCGATATTTTAGAGGAATATTTGCCAATTGATTACCAGTTTCTTCCGTCGCTAAACATAATTTTAAACGGTTGACATGTACCTTTTTCCTATGTTTTCCATGAACTTCTGTAATTTCTGCATTTACACCTGTTAGTTTACTGATTCTGTATGGTCCGGTCCATTTCTTTGCCAATTTCTTACTGATTCCAACTTTATCCGCTGGTTCGTATAGATAAACCTTATCACCTAGTTTAAATTTATGTGGACTTGCTTTCTTATTGAAGTTATCATGGTATCGCTGAGTATTTCTTTCTATGTTATTTAAAGCATTTTTATGGGCAATTTTCATTCTTTGTAGAAATTCTGAAACATAATTTGTATCGGTATTGTACTTGACCCTTAAAGGTTTAAAAATCTCGTCAAACGGATATTCCATATCTCTGCCAAAGAGTAAAAAGAATGGACTTTCTTCTGTCGTGTTGTGAGTCGCTGAACAGTACGATGCAAGGGCAAAAGGTAACCATTCGTCCCAGTCTCGCTGTCCAGGTTCAATATAATGTGATAACAAATCCTTCAGAGTTCTGTGAAATCTCTCTAAAGCACCATTGGTCTGCGGTCTATATGCAGTGGTTTTGAGATGATTAATTTGTAAATTCTCACAAACACTTTGCATCAATTTTGACATAAAGTTAGAGCCTAAATCCGTTAAAAGCTGATGTGGTGTTCCATGTCTTAGGATAATTCCTTTAATAAAAGCTTTTGCAACTGTTTCTGCTGTTTGATCCGGTAAAGGAAACGCTTCCACGTATTTTGTTAGTGCATCTTGAACTGTTAAAATATATTTATTTCCCTGTAATGTAACAGGTAAAGGTCCTACCACATCCATAGCAATTCTGTAGAAAGGGTATTTGGGAATGGAAAATTTCTGTAGCGGGGCAGGTTTTTGATGACTGGATGTTTTCCGCCTTGCGCATGGATCGCAAGCATTAATATATCGACGAATGTCTTCGGTCATATTTGTCCAATAGAAAAATTTTCTTATTCGTGCGTATGTTTTATCAAAACCCATATGTCCCGAAAAAGGCAAATCATGATAAAGTCGTAGAATATGTGGTATCAAATATTTAGGTGCTAAAAGTATATCATTGTTAGTTTTGTCATTAGAAACTTTGTAAACTAATCCGTCTAAGTCGATGTAGTAATCATTCCTTTTTCCTTGATTAATTTTTTCAATAAGGCTTTTAATATTTTTATCAGCGTATTGTTGTTTTTTAATTGTGTCTCTACACCATATAGGCTCGCACTCATTTTCCTGATGAATTAATCTAATTGGCTTGATTCGCGATAAAGCGTCTACATTTGTGTGTTTCTTCCCACACTTATATTCTATTTTGAAACTGTATTCTGATAAGGCTAACGACCATCGCATGAGTCTATTACTTGGATCTTTTACTGACATAAGCCATTTTAGTGGTTGGTGATCTGTATAAACTGTGAATTCTTGTCCCCAAAGGTAGTTTCTATATTGTTTAATACCCCACAATAGAGCTAAACATTCTCTTTCAGTAGTGCAATAATTTTTCTCGGCTTTATTCAATTGTCTGCTTGCATATGCGACAGGATATTCTTGGCCTTCATATATTTGATGTAATATCGCGCCAATCGCGTAGCCAGAAGCATCTACTGACAAATAAAATGGTTTTGTTGGATCTGGATATTTAAGAATTGGTTGATTTATTAGCACTTTTTTTAAGTATTCAAAGGATTCTTCACAATTTTTATCAAAATTAAATTTAACATTTTTCTTAGTTAGGTGTGTCAAAGCTGCGGAATATTTAGAAAAGTCAGGTATAAATCGTCTATAGTATCCAACTAACCCCAAAAATGATCTGATTTCTGTTATATTTGTCGGTTTGGGATAATTTTTAACAATCTCCGTCTTCTTTGGACAAGGTCTTATTCCATTTTTAGATATTATATGACCTAGGTAAGGTGTTTCGTCTTTGGCAATTACACATTTCTCTGGATTGAGCGTTAATCCAGCTTCTCTTAAAGCTTCAAAAATTTCCTTTAATCGAGATATATGTTTATCAATATTTCCTGATGAAAATATTATAATATCATCCAAGTATACGTAGCAATGTGTCCCAATAAATTTGGAAAGAATACACATCATTAATCGTTGCCAGGTAGCTGGTGAATTCACTAATCCAAAAGACATTCTGTTGCATTCATAATGTCCCCAAGGTACGGAAAATGCCGTTTTTTCACGATCTGTTGGCTCTACTTCTACCTGCCAATATCCTTTCGTCATATCGAGAGTGGAGAACATTTCCGCGCCTCCTAAAGAATCTATAGTGTCCTGGATATGTGGAATTGGAAAAATGTCTCGTTTCGTAATAGAATTCAATTTGCGGAAGTCAATGCAGAATCTAAATTTCTTTTGTCCATCTAGGCTTTTCTTTTCCACTAAAACTACTGGTGCACTCCACGGTGATATAGAAGGTCTAATTATGTCTTGTTCCAACATTTCTTTTATTTGTTTATCCATTTCTTCTCTCATAGCATAAGGTATTCTGTACGGAGCTTGTCTAATTGGCAAATGATCCCCTGTATTGATCTTATGAGTAACCATTTGTGTAGCTTTCAATGACGTATTATCCTTTGCAAAAATATCAGAGTAACTCTGTAAAAATTGCATCATCTTACTCTTATCCCCTCCTTTTAAATGAGAAACCATATTCTCCACAATATGGCCTTCATAACAACTTGTATGAATTTCACTAAACTTTTCACTAACATAATCCGTTCCATCCGCTCCACAGAGAGCATCCGCGGTGGAACATTCTTTCAGCCTAGTCACATCCACCAAATTTAAAATGGGCGTGTTTTTATAAATGGTCTGCGGTATTGGAGAAGTATTCAGAATACGAACTACTATATTTCTATTTTCTTTTGTTGAATTTTCAGGAATTTCTATTACACTACACGCGGTAAGAATACCGACATCTGTATGATTTAATGGTTCACAGACTTTAATGCCTGCAGGGACCCGGGTGTTTACAGGTACATTAAAATCGCAACCGTGGAAAGCAGGTATTTCCAAGTTTTCACGCAATTTTACTACATGTGGTCCTTTAGATAAATGACCACAATTGGAGAATTGCGCATTTCCTCCTGTAGCAAACTGGCGAAATTCATTACTATTTTCTATCTCAGTGTAGTTCGTAAACTGTTTCAGTCTATTATCAATCTGGTGAGTTTCAGGATTTTCGTTAAGATACCCTGTATCTTCCCTATCTTCCTTACTACTCAAAACTATTGGTGGATCAGTCAACTCACACTTATTTTTCCCGTTTCTAGAGGTTGGTACCCCTTTCCCTTTAAATAAATCCACCACGGCCTCACTGCCAGTGGATTTAGTCTCTCTAAAACCATTTACATTAACAAAGTCATTTTCAATAACATAATCATTTTCAATACTCCGGCGACCTCTATAAACGACCTCTGTACCCCGATTCGTTTTTACAGGAAAAATAGTTACCACTTCTTTTGTGATACACGGAGCGTCAACTGCATTACAGCTCTGTACAGCCGCACTGTGACGTCGTTCTAAAAGTTCATTTAACAAGGCCAATCTATAACCACACATATTCATTTCATTCGCATTAAAATCGATCACTGGTTGATAATTCTCTAAAAAATCCATACCCAATAATCCATCTGTCGAAAAACTTAACTCATTTCCACAAATAATAAAATTGTGGCCAATTATTGTTTGCTTACTCCCTAAACTGCTTAAAATAAACTTAATTTCAGTGCTTCCAAAATTTTCTAAAACTTGTCCCGAAATGTCTCTTATATTTATAGGTTTCCTATTTACATTCAATAATCCTAATTTTTGAGCAGAATTTTTTTTTCTAAGTGAAACAGACGCTCCACTATCGAGCAGAAAAGACATTTTTGGTCCATCTTCAACATTTAATAAAAGAAATTTTGCATTTTCGGTGTTAATAGCAAGTATGATTTGTGTCTGTCGCTGAGGAACTATTATTTGTTCGATTGGTCCGAGGCTCCCTGATAGTTTAAATAACACTGTGCACGTAAATGACCAGGCTTTCCGCAGTTATAGCACTTTCTAACGTTTTCACGACTCGGAAACTTGTCTTTTAGGCATCCAACAGCCAAATGGTTGCTATCACCGCATTTATAACATCCTGCATTCCTTTGATTGCCTTGTGGGTTTTGATACCGGTTTGGTTTCTGGTTGAAATTATTATTTCTCTGAGGGTAAAAGTTCCTACTCCGAAAGTTATTACCATTTTGAGTTTGTTGCTTATTATAGGAGTTATACGGGGTTCTAGTTTCCTGTTTTCTTTCGCTGCAGTCTTTGGGTACAGCTCCTTTAGTTGCCTCTTCATTTATAACCCGTATTGCGGCTGCATATCGATCTTCGTAAAGGTTTCCTGGTAATTGTTTTGAAATAGAGTTCTCGTACTTTTCGGCTACGGCCAGTACCTCTTCTACTGTGTAAAAATCTCCCTTCTCTATTATTTTGTTTGCCAGACGCAAATCTATTCCCTGTATGAATTGTTCAACTAAAACCTTTTCTCTGTATATCCGTTGTGATTGACTAGTTCCTTCGTCTGGAAAAGCTTCTGTAGAAACTCTCCTAAGTCTCTGGACGAATGCACCCAACGATTCATCAGGTAACCTGACACTGGTCAAGAGTTTTCGTTTAGCTTGAATTTGTTCAGTTTTTCCTCCAAATAGTCTGCGTAGCCACGTACTTATTTCGTATACGTTTTCCGGACGTTCACTTTTCCTCAATGCGTAAAACTCTTCTTTTGCTTTTCCTTTCAATTTTTTCACCATGGTACGAAATGTTTCTTCTTCGGTCCATCCTTTAATCGTAGCGGCATTCTCAATGGCTTCTATAAAAGCTTCATAATCATTAGCTCCCACATAAGGATCAATCGATTCCAAAATATCTTCATCTTTGCGTAAAATCTCTCGAATTGCTTGTAAATCATTTAGATTTATATGTCCAGCGCTAGCCTCATGGGATTTTCCGTCTGAATCTTTAAATTGTTGAATTGAATGGAGTATGTTTAATTTTGTTTGTTCCTCAAGTTGCAATCTCATATTTTCGAGCTGGTCTCGTAAGGCCTCTGTGATACTTTCCGAATTTTCTTTTGGTGAATTACAGTTTTCGTGCTCGTTCGGCATGTTTTTTTTTTTTATAAAGTAAAATTAAGTTATTTCTTGAGTCAATAAATATAAAAAAAAATTAAGCGATTTAAAATATTTTGGTTAAGTTTCTCGACAATAATGCGAAAGGATTGGTTCGGGATTTACTCACACGCGGGCACACACACAAAACTAACTAATATTCAACCTCTTAACTCAATAAATACCTCCGATAATACGTCCTTAACAACTCACTTTAGTACTCTTTTTCTACGTGGGTTAGAAAACCCTATACGCCCAATTCGGCGAAACTCGGCCGCTCGTTTTATTTGAACTCTATATATCGCTAGACCCACTCGAACGTACTCAATTTCTATTCCTAATTTTCTAGTGCCTAGTAATTAGAATAACGGTAAATAGCTTAGGTTTTACCTTTTTTTTTCCAAAAATAAAATATTAATTTTATTTTTCCTAGAATTTTCCTCAGAAAATTATTATTTATAGGTACCCAATAAGTAACTCCTTGTTGCTTCTTTTCACAACTTATCTGCTTTTCATGTAGTGAGATCCGCGATCACCACTTTCCTAAAATTAAAACTTATCTTGACTTATTCAAAATGAATAACGATCAGAAATCCCTTTACTTTTAGCGTTGTTTTAGTTAGTCAAGTTCAAGCAATAACCGTACTATAAAATAAAAGGTAAATCTGGTTAAATACCTATAAATACACCTCTCTAAGGGTTAACTAACCGAACTTGACGCAACAATACTACCCAAAATAATAGTTACAGTGATTCCTTCCTAAATTTATTGTGCATTTATATAACCCATTGTGATATTGCTTTTTTTACTACTGTACCTACCTTATAGATAATATTATATTTTTTTTTTAATGATTAAACGACCTAATTCTTCGAAACTAAAATAAAATCCCAACTATACCTACGATTATGAGTTATTAAAACAAAGAATGTGAATATTAGTATCAACTGAAACATCAAAATCAATATTAAAACTGTTAGATGACACAGTTGTAAAATTTCACATTGTCAACATAGACATAGACACAGACTGTAAAATTTGTTTCCAAAATATGCTCAATAATAAAACGTGCCAGAAGATTGACCATATTTTTAATTCCAAAAATTTAACAAACTTCAAATAATCGCAAAACTGCAATTAATAACCATTGTGCTTCTTACATACGCAAAAAGACAAAACTAAACGACGGTCAGCAAACCAATGGAAACAATTTGGAATCATCTTCAAAATTTTGAAAGAGAACATTGAATCAGCTAATTTTCTTGATAACGCTATAAATCACCAAATTTAAGTCAACTCAGAAATTAACTCATAAATTGATAATATTTACACCCCAAAAGAAAAATAAAGTAAATCATAATAATATAAATAAGTAAACATATAACTAATAACTTCACCTACCGATAAATTTTCCTGAAAGAAAATAATAATTATTATTACCATCCTATACTAAGCAAATATCGCAATATACCTAGTTACATTCTGTACATTATACAATGACGCGAAAATGCACAAATCACGTCAAGGGAGTTATCACCAATAAAATGTTAGTTTCACCACAACTGATTCATTCCTGTTGTGATCACCAATTACCTTTACCTAATAATTTTTTTCTTTATAAACAATAACAATAACATAAAATTCACAACAAAAATAAAACCATGTTAGTAACTAAACAAATATGCAACGTCGTTCTTGAATTCTTCATCTTCCTGGGTGCCTCCGATTCTTTCTTTTATCTTATTTTCTTTATTATTTTTTTTTTTTTACTTTCTTTTTAAAACGTACCGATTCAAACCTTATCATAATTAGAAAAACCCTTTTCGCATAATTCGATCTATCAAATGACTTCTTTGATCTCATGGTCATCTCGACAAGATAAACTCTCTAAGATCCTAAATTGTTCAAGATTTCTTTAAAATAAAAATAATAATGCTTATCTATTTCCGTGAAATTAGGTATTTAAAAATAAATTAATTTCGTCAAAATCAATATCGGTAATATGGAAAATAAATTGAAAATTTGATGGAAATATGAAGAGTTTTTGAAGGAAAAGAAAATCTCAAATCCCACCGCTGCCACCAATTATTTATGTGACAAAATTTGCGATGTTACGAAGAATAAACATTTTGGTAGCGTGAATAATTCTGTCACATCTTAGTTTGCGTGGGTACCATAATTATGCTGTAATTAAATTTATTCTGAAAAGGGATACCAAATTTTCTGAACCGGAGGCAATCCAAACAAAACCTTATTTCTCTTCTTCTTCGGTTTTGGTTAGTGCAAAGGGTTATAAATTCAAGAAGACTTACCTTTTTATTGCCAATGTTGCTTCTCTTCTCAAATGCACAAACCGGCACGAAAGAACTTTTTACGCGTCCACCAGTGTTTTAGAGGGAATTTTAAAACCAGAAAAGAAAAGAGTAATTTTGAAAGATTAAACTAATTTATTTATAAGCGAAAAGAAAAGTCAGTGTTAATTATTTAGTGATAATAAAAAAAAAGGTTAAGTAAAATATAAAAAAAGAACAAAAAAAAAATATTACCTTATTTAAGACCATAATTAATTTTTAACTGAAGAAAAATTAAAGACAATTGAAAGCAAAGAGTAATTTCCCAATTAAAAGGTTTAGTTCCCAAATCTGATTCTTTATTGGAATTGAAATTAAAAAAAATAACAACTATCACCTCTTTGGAGAACTTCTACTAAAACACAGGGCGGCAGAACTAGATGATGAGAAACGGATCGAGAACTCGTTGAAACTTTGCGACTTAAATTTCCAGCGATCACTCGTAGTAAAAACTAGTTGCGAATTAGCGATAACTGAAGTTATGTGGCCTCTACATGTGCTTAAATAGGCGAAAGGAATTACCCTCTGGGTACCACTTTAGAAGCCCATTGGCTCCCCTCCGTACCCGGCTTGCTAGAATCGAGGATCTCCAACCCTCTTAGCTTTCAGCGATTCGCTGAGAGTACCCTTTGGTTTCTTGCCGTGTTCCCATTGGTTCTCATATTGTTCATTCTATTTGCACCCTTAGTGATATAGTTTGAAAGCCCTCCAACAGAGTTCGCTAGTCATATGGGAAATATAATTTCGATAACTGCAATAACTGTTTTCCCCTTAATTGGAAAATCCTACATTCTATATGCTTTCTTTTAACCTAGTCAAACAGTTTCTTTGTTTTATAATTATTATATACAGCCTTTAATATGACAGAGCTCATGATAATTATATAATATTCTTCTCAAGATTCCATCTGAATGTAAAATGCTTTAGACAGCAATAATATCCCAAGAAAATATTAGTAAACTAATTTTATAAATGTTTCACATAGCGCTAATAAAACAATTTTATAGATGTACGTCAACTAATGAACTAGTATCAGATAACATCAATATAAATCTAATATAAAACAGATTTGTTCGGTGAGCTAAAATGTCATATAAAATCATTGTGCAAACGTTCATAAAACAATATTAAAACTTGTTACCGAACTGTTTTGTATTTTTGCTCCAAGAACGTTCTTACGACTACCTTATAGAGCAGAATACTTTCTTGGAAGCTTAATTATCTCGCTTGCAATTTTAATAAAACAAATGGCATTCGACGAGCAGTAATAAACTAATTATAGAATAAAATAGCAGCGGAGAGTTAAAAATTATAAAATATAATTGCTAGTTGAGGTGTTAAATGAATTAAATTATTCTATACTTAAATACTAATTTA